GGAATCAGTGGCTTGGGAATGAAGGCTGGTATGGAATGATGGCTGCGCTGAACTTGGATGTTTGTATATATAGTCTTTGTTTTGTTGTTATTATTCGATTAACTGAATACAAGATTGAATACGAATTTATTTAAAGTCAACTTCAGTTTTCAATTGTAGTCCGGCCAGGGCAGCTCTTGGAAAAGCCCAGGTTACCGGGGCCTTCCTCAGGTGCGGCATGAGAACGCGGTGTGCTGTGGGACAGTTGAAGTCCGCGCCTTTCCCTATACCCCCTGCCGCACGACCGGGGATGGTTTTTGCTTCATGATTCTATTTATTTCTCAGCAGCGTGACCAGGCCAGTAAAAGCGGGTAGGTTCTATTAAGATAGGGCCCAGCTGCCTCTTCGGGCCCGTCCGGTGAATGGAAATACATCCGCTGTGACTTCTCGCACGATACTGGATAGCGTAGTATGATGGCCGGGTGGCAGGCACCTGTGAGGGCGTTGGGTTGTTCTTTGGTGTTCGCCAGGGGGCAATGCCATAGCCCCCAGGGCGGTGAGTGAGCAGATTGTGGTGGGGGGTCTGTCCAATCGAAGGGAGGATCTGACCCTAAGCAGCACACAACGTGGGGGAGATAACGGGTGTACAATCACATTCTATGTTATTTTAATGTTTTAGAATGTAGGGCCACACTTGCTCGCGGAGAGAAGACACAGACAGCTGGCATCAAGTAGGTCATGGAAGGCAGGCGGGTAACACGGTTTCTTCTCTTGCACGAGAATGTTAGAAGGCGGAAGGGCTGGAGGCGGGTGACTTGTCATGATTCTGTTGATTAGAAGGGTGGCTGCGGAGGCAGACCACGCAATTAGCCGCTAAAGATAAACCAATGCACCACGATTAGGAGAGGCTATAAGCAAGGAATATCAAATGATGGAAAGAAGGTAAAAATGCCCAACACTTTCTCTGTACGCAACCATGCCTTGATCCCAGAGAAAGAACACTCCAACAGCTCGCCACCACCTCCCATCCATCATTCTTCAGACATTTTCCATTACTGCCTCTAGATCCCCGCCGCCTGCAATGCTGGGAGGAATTAGCGTCCCCTCTTGCCCCCTCTATTTAGGCCAAACCTGAGGCCACATAATGAATGACTAGGTCCGCCAGGTGAGCTCGGCGAAGACTCCAGCCCACCAACAATGTAAAACGGAGCCCGAAACTTGTGGTTACTTGTGGTCTGGGTTTCTTAGTAGCCTCTGCTATGAACACTGACTTGTCCTCTCTGATTCGTTCTTCTTTCATCTGTATCACAGAAGATGGACCTGATTTCAGAAATGTGCTGTGCGATGTGGCTCGTTTGGCCCGAGAATCTTGTCAATCACCTCCAGTGCACACCGATTCATTGCCTCTTATCCACCGTATCTTCCGAAATCACCCATCGCACTTGCATGGTAGGATTAGTAGTCCCGGGGGTCGGTGGTTTGGGCTCCGTGACAGGTCTCAAGATCCCCAAGTAAATTCTGATATATCTTCTTTTCATCCCATGCCCTTCCTCAGTGTGCAATGGCCTATCCTGGGAGAATAAATCTCTCATGAGTCTTATCCTAGCCCTGCTCTTGGTTCCCCTCGCGAAGTAGGATAGGTCGATGGATATGTACTGCACTGTACTTCTGCGGTGCCGTGGGAACCCAAGTGTGTTAAACACTCTCCAATGCCAAAACAAATGTCTTAAGCAACAACACTCGTTCTACCCTTGGTTATTGCAGGTGCAGATGGAGTCTATGCCTCGGAAATGTCTTAGCTCGTGCTCATATTTAGGGAGAATTTAGGCGATCACTCCTACAGCAGTGGTGTTCCATCCACCCCGCTCTTCTGGTGATAACTGTTGTAAATCACCGGTACTCCACCTGATCATAGAGTTGCCTGAGATCCTTCAAAGGAAGCAGCGGAAGTCTGTCCGCAGTTCTCGGAGACTTTGTCATTTCATTTGTCATGCTTACAGTTTGATTTATAAGAGGGGTAGAAGGTTCTCGCACATGTTCTGGACCAATGTAAGGAGAGGAGAGGTCGGAACTGGAGAGGGATTACCGAACACATGGCCAGGAGAAGGATCGGTGATTGGTCAATGAGTCGGGTAAATAGGAAGTTAACAGAAGTGGAGAGAAGGAAACGGAAAGAAGGAAAAGCGGGGTATAGTTGATCAGGAGATGTGAATGGATTAGGAATGGGAACCAGGGGAGGATAAACAGAGAAACGATGGAGTTCTCGGTTGTATATAAGGGTGTGGATTTGCCCACGGAGATGAGAGAGGGTAGACAAGATTAGCCAGACAGTCGGAACCCCAATACGGACCAATACAGGGCTTCCACACGCGCAGAAAAAATTCAATTCAATCACGAATTACAAGAATAACTAGGCTTATATAGATTGCTGGGTTGGATGATAAAGTTCATAAATATCGGGTTTCCTCCCCCTGATCTGCTGGGCCGCAACTTGGAACGAGCAGCATTCATAACAACTCATCTGAATCTACTCCTTTTTTTTTTTTTTACCCCCACCGTCCTCTCTGGCATAGCTATTAAGGCACGCGTATGAGCTTACATTCTGGATTTGCACAAAGATGGACACCAGTGAGTCTTACAGCCCTAGCCCACAGGGTAAATCATGGCGAAGTTAACACATGCTCCATTGTACGCACCGATGTGCGGCGGCTATTGGCATATATCCCAATAACCAGTTCAATCTATATTTATGTATAAATGTGTCCAGAAGACTCCCCGGAGTTTGGAAGTCATACAGAATCGCTCGGGGGTTTTAGTGTTCGAACGGTAAGTTCACGGTAAGGTACTATTTGGCAATGAAGAGTAGCGTGCTGTAGACCTACCAGGCGCCGTGGGGCATATTGTCATGAAATCAGCTTGGGAGTTGGTACTCGCAAACTTTCGCTAGGAATTCCCAGCGGAAACATATTTGATGGAAAACAAGATTACTCGGCCTCCGAGGGAAATACCTTTTTCCAGTATTTTATCATCCTTGTGTATTTTACTGCAGTTTGCCTTATGGTGTCGGTCGTGTGTGATACGGTAATGGCCGTAATATTCGAACACTAGTGGCTAGATTTCGCTTACCCCCAGGCCGGCTGGCTTCCTTTGATATAGCTTCTCTAATTACTTTCCCCACAACTCTTCCCGATGTTAGCTGCTGTTCGAGGTGTTCCTAATCTGAAGAAAAACAGGTAGAGAAATAGGAGTATTCGAGTATAAAAGAGTCGTAGTAGATGGATCGATCAGTTTGAGATAGGCAATTCACTTGGACAAAATAAAGGTGGTTCGGAGTTCGCATAATCATTTCTAACTAGCTCACCAGGTCCCTTTTCATAAGACTTGCCTCTTCCTATGCTGTGCTCGTGTGGATGAAGAGTTTTCGCCTCTATCCAGGGGGAAGAAAATTTTCTCTCAATGAAACGAATGAAACAGGAAGGAAACTAGAAGGAAACAAGAAAGAAATTTTCAGCTGCAGGAGGATAAGGGATTAAACAACGGAAATATGAAATGAATTGAGGTACGCAGGGGACAATATTCCAACAGAATCTCTTCTCCATATCTCACAAATTCAGAACAATACGGTATTTAACTAGGGTATGACTTCCTTTCTTATTGCTCTTCATTTACTGTTCTTCCCAGGTTCTGATATATCCTCGACGCCTCTGAGGTCTCCTCAAAAATTTTCCGTTCTTGCAAACTTTTCATGGTGCCAGTCCGGGAGTTTCGTGTTTCCTTACTTTTAGGTATTTCGTTAGTTTGGCATAAAAAGCCATAGCGGCGCATAGGGTAGAAAGATCGTGCTGCTTTCTCTCTCGCGGTCATCAAGTTTAAAGCCTGCTAAGATCGGCAGTCCGGCAAGTCCAGCTCCCGGAAACACCTAGGTGAGCAGGGTATGGCCCAACCCGCACCGGTTGCGGGCTACGGGTGTGGTGTGATGGTTTGGGTCTATGGCCTTCCCATTGAGCTCAAGGGGGCCTCGAGCAATGGCTTCCGACTAACTATAGGCCCCGTTTTATGGTAACTGGCTTGGATTCGCAACCAGTCAATCGAATTCTATCCCGACATGCCTGGGGAACTGTGATGTGCCTATCCACTACGGGACAACACATCAGATCTGACCCGTGGCGCTTTACCCGGCATTACGGCCGCATGGCCAGGCTATAGAGAGCTTTGAGGGTCAGGCTGGCTGGTCTTGATCACGGAAAAGCACGTGTTCAGTTGTGCGAGAGGGAATGGGAAAGGTTGTGGTCGGTAGCATGTCCGTCCAAGGGTGGTGGTGGGCACCCGACGTTGGCTGGAAGCCCCGGGGGGATAATAAATTTACCCTGGGTGTCTTAGTGGCTGGGAATATAAGGCTGCAAAATACCAACCCGGAAAGACGCCAGGGCGGCTGACTGTAGGTAGTGCATGGAGTACCGGGGGTAACTCTGATCACCTCATCGCACCTACACATTTGTGGGATGACGGGTGGCGCTGACAAACGAGTAGCTTCTGGTGATTCTTCTATACAAGAGAGCGGCTGCTAGAATCTCACTGGGTAAGAGTCTACAAGGAATAATTCGGTATGAAAAGAAAGAATACGCTGCTAAGCGGGGCTGGGAACAATATGAAAGAAAAGGTGAAATAGAAGTAAGAATTCCCCACATTTCATCTATATACAAGTATCTCTTGCTTGTAAGTTGTAACAAATAATTCAAGGATCTGCCCCCCCCCCCACCCGCGATTGTGGTGAGTTTCAAATATTCCCCTGCTATTCGCGGTAGATTTCAACATCCTCCTAGGCCAGCAGAAATTGGTAGCCCAGCCATGTCAACTCAAGGGTAGCGAAACTACAGGTGAGATGATGAATCACCTGGACTGCGTACCACCGCGGCCGAAGAGTGTTGTTTTGGGTAAAAACAGGGGACAACACGCCCTACAAACCGTAACCAGGCTGGGACTGGCTTTGTTGGGGGTCTCTGTCCTGGACACCATTTCACCGTCTCTGTTTTGCCCTGCTTGCCTTGGGACTTTGGTACAAAGCCGAGATTCTTAATGCTTGTTAAGGTATCCGGGTGGTCTGGTCCGAGGGTCTTCCGACGTCCCTCAAGCGCACGCTGATGCATCGTCTTGGATTCGGTGTACTTTCCTTGGGATCGCAGCACAGCGCCTAGGCGGGCGATGCTTGTTAGGGTGTCCGGATGTTCTGGTCCAAGAATCATCTCCCTCGCCTCAAGTGCACATCGGTACATGGCCTCGGATTCACCGTACCTTGCTTGCTTATGCAGCAGCGCAGCCAGGTTGTTGAGGCTTAAAAGGGTCTCAGGGTGGTGCT